TAGAATGCCCCTGGTTTCAGTCCCCAGTATTTAGAAAACAAACAAACAAAAAAGAATTCACTCTTGGGTATGAAAGAAAGACATGTTAGGAATTTAACAGTAAAATGGTGTTGCCATTATCTACCATAGGAAAACTTGTGTTGGAGGAACCAACTTCTGTATACAAATAGATATTTGTACTTGGCCAGCATTTGGAAGCACTCAAGAAAGCTTGTAGAAAAACTCCCATTAGAATTTGTGAAAGAGACTGAAATAAAAGGTTGCATGTAGATAAAAGGAGCACTATGTTATATATTACAGTGTGTGTCATGCATAGTGACATTTATAAATGTTCTCTATTAGGCAGTTTGCCTTAGATGGTTTAAATAGGGTGTTCATTCATTCTGCAGTGAACCTTGAAATCCTCAGTGTTTATAATTGTCAAGCCTCTTGATTGGTAAATATTTTATAAAGATAGTTCTGGGTATTATAAGCATACCAGATTTTCATTTTTACTTATGAGACAAATTTTATTCATAGTAATTCTGAATTTTTATTTCTTAAGGTAGAGATCTCTAAAATTTACTTCAGAGATGGGATTGTTATATTTTACAGTTGTGTAATCAATAGACCATTTACTTTTTTGTGACTCCATTTCTTTATCTGTGAAATGGGGGAAAATAATAGCACATATATCTTACCATTGACAGAAGGGATTAAATTAGTTCTTTCATGGAGAGTACTCAACAGGGCCTCGAATATAGTTAGTGCTCAATAAATGTCAACTATTGCTAAAAGAAAAAGTTTGTTTCTAAGGTTATTGGCTGTGCTGATACGTTAGTTAAACCCTCTAGTTCCTGAACTTATACAGATTCTTTATTCTTTTATTCATAGTACATATTTATGATAATACTCTTTTGAAAATAAAATGGTCTTTACTCTTGACTTTTAAAGAAATTTAGCAAAATATGTCGTATGTAATTTTAATTGTTCTTTTGCCAGATACTGCTTGAAAAGTTTTTTTGGGAAATTTTCTTATAAGTAACTGGCTTATATTTTATATGTCATATTTTATATATCTGGCATTTTGATTTTAAACCACTTTCTAACCCCAAATTACAATTTTGTCATTTCAGGCAAGAAGACAACAAGACCCTAGTCCTGGTTCCAATTTAGGTGGTGGTGATGATCTCAAACTTCGTTAATAATAGCACAGCAAATGTGCTGCCCATCTTTATGTACACATTGCTTCTAGTTGGCAGAAATAATTCATTATAAGACCAGAAACTGTGATAACTGGAGGTACTACGATCTATTTCTCAAACCTAAGGCAGTAAAAGACATCACAAACTGCCATGGTTTTGCACTATGATTATAATACCTACATTTCTAATTTTTAAAGCATGTAGCCAGTAATAATTTGAAATTTTTTTCTATGCAAGCTTACCTTGTTGGCATTATTTTAATTCAGTTGAAACTATCAATTTGTAAAGCTCTTTTTTCCTCCATTCTAATTTAAAGTTCATGTCATTTTAAAACAAATTTAAGTTTTTAATCCAGAGGGCTTTCTTTAATCAGTTGCTTTTTTTTTTTAATACTTTTAGATGTGTTGGTTACAGTTTCTTTTTAAATAGGCAGTCTTGATTTGTTTTTTTTCCTGCATTTCCTTTTGTTTTTATTGTCTATTGCATTTAAAAACTGTTGATACGTTTGCATTATTTACAAGCTAAAAACTTAGTAGCATAGAACTGTCTGCCACAGCCTTTTACCACAAAGTTTACAGTTGTTAAAGTTGCAGTATCCTTTTAAATGCTAATAATGAGCACCCTTTCTTTCCTTTTTAAACATAAAAAATTTAAATTTTTATTAACTCTGTAATCTGCCCCAGATGTGTTTTAGATTCTGCTTTATAATCATGAGTTTGGGTGGAGATATTCTCCATAGATGATAACATTCTACTGAAATGCCTAAAGAAGTCACAGGCTGGCTTCTGTTTTATTCAGGGATTTTTTTTTTTTAATCAATCAAAAGGGATACTGGAGCTTCTTTATGTGTGTAACAACATATTAAACTGGAGACAGTGATGAATCAGCTACAAAGGTAATATTGTATTAAAATCATGTTTAAGATAGCTGCTTTTATGTGTTTTATAGTGCATGCTTTTGTAAAAACAATACTGGGTAATGAAAGATTAGTCTTAGAAAATGTTCATCTGTGCAGAGGATACATTTTCTTTATTCTGGGGGAAAACATTCACAATTATATATGGTATTTTGCAAAAGGACTATTATTAGCACCTTTTGAGATGAATAGTTAAGAATATTTTTTAAATAGGCTTACTGTCAAATTGGGTGCAACTTTTTTTTTTAATACAAGACTGGAAGAAAGTGCTGAGTCATTTGGCACAAACTTACAAATACTTTTCATGGTCATGTTCATTAAATGTTAATACATTTCTGAATTTTTGCAAAAATGTATTTTATCATAACAAAATGGCATTATTTTGAAGAGTAGAAAAACTGACACATAATTCAGAAAATGAAATCTGAATAAGGTCATTGCATTTAAAAAGCATATAAATATACTTGATTGATGAAGGAGGTGTGATTTTCGATGTATATAGGTCTTTTAATTCATAAACAGATATCCTGTATCAGAATAAAAAATATTTGTTATATATTTGAAGTCATGCATGGTAAGGAGTGTGTTTAAATTGTTATAAACAATAATACATCATAAAAAACCATGCTGATCTTGTGTAACTAAGTACTATGAATGAATTTGGTTGGTATTTGGTGTTGTACAGCTCACATGTTTACACACTCAGTGCCCTAATTTCCCCTGAGGGAATCGACTTTTAAGTGATCCTTACAGTGGTGTTTTAAGGTTACTTTATCACAGAGCTCCTTGGTTTTTGACTTCTGCACTTAATATTTTTTTAATAACATGATGATGGTACATTTTTCTCTATTGCTTCCAGCTAAGGGCTTTTAGTCCACCAGTATAAGATCAGATGTTAATAAATAAATGTTCCTGTTGCCATTCTTCTGTAAATACTGGATTTCCCCGTGTCGTTTAGTACTGTGTTGCTTCTGTCTGTCTTAATGCTGGCATTAAGATTATAAGCCCTTTTTCTCCAGTAGTGCAGACCTTGGAAACTTTTTTTTTTAAGTTATTGATGCAATTTGATATGTTTTCATAATCCATATTTAAGCAAAATTACATCATTGTATCAGCTTTTCTAAATTCATCTCCATCAAAACTTGCCTTAAGCTACCAGATTGCTTATGCCACCATTAGCCATTCTGTGTATTACATGTTTTACTTTCACAATAAACTTATGTGTAGTGAAAAATAGGTCTTGGCTCTTTATTGACATAATCTGATCATTTCTATCCCAGAGTTAGTTATGACATGAAAATTGATTCTATTGTTTGATCCTGCTTTTTGACTTATTGATTTAAAAAAAAGCAACAGTGACATCTAGTGGTCATTTCTTCTAATTCCAAAGAAGATTTCCCCACCAACTCCCTTTTTCCCCTCTGTGCCAGAAATAACAGCTTTTAAATTGTAGAGGTAAGGCTGGGTGTGGTGGCACACACCTGTAATCCCAGCACCTTGGGAGACTGAGGCAGGAGGATCGCAAGTACAAGACCAGCCTGGGCAACTTAGCCATACTGTCTCAAAATAAATAAAAAGTGCTGGGATGTAGCTCAACACTAGAGCACTCCTGGGTTCATTCTTCAATATTGCAAAAAATAAAATAAAAATAAATGAAGTGATTTCAAATGAAATGTATATCATGGTTTTGCCCTTACTATGAGGTGTAACTATAAAGCAGTGACCCTTGAGGGGAATATTTAAAATAATACACACAGGGGCTGGGGTTGTGGCTCAAGCAGTAGCGTGCTCGCCTGGCATGTGTGCGGCCCGGGTTCAATCCTCAGCACCACATACAAAAACAAAGATGTTGTGTCTGCCAATAACTAAAAAATAAATATTAAAATAATAATAATAATACACACAGATTAGTACTATCTTGCTAGTTTTAGGAATGTACACTAATTTTTATTGTGTTGGCATTATATCATACATTCTTAGGACTTGTATTTTATTAAACTATAAAAATAAGCCTTTTGCTTTAGAAACGTGACTTTCACTTGATCAATAATAAACACATTTACTTATTTATCAGATTTACTGCAAATAACCAAAGTACCTTTAAATGCTGAATCAAAACATTAAGGAAATTCCAACAAGTAGGATTCATATTCAGAGGCTTAATTTAAAAAACTGAGTAGTAACACCATGATTTTAGTTAGTATATCACTTGTAGAAACGGATATTAGGATATGCTTTTTTGGGGTTGCTTTGTGACAAATACCTTAATTTATGCTTCATTTGTCAATGGGGAGCTTTTCAAACTATAAGCTCTAATCCATTGCTGCATGTGAATATGAATAACACATTACCCCAAAATTTGGCAGATGAAAGCAAATATTGATTATCTCAGTTTTGCAGGTCACAATCTAGAAGTAGCTAAGTTCAGTAGTTCTGGTTTTGGGTCTCAGGTTAGAGTTAACCCAGGCCACAGTCATCTGAATACTTAACTGGTTAAAAAATCCTCTTTCATCCTTACTGATGTGGTAATTGACCGCCCTCAATTTCTGGCAGTCTGTTAGACAAATAATTTGGTTCCTTACTAAGAGTTAAGACAGAAACCTTCAATTCCTTGCCATGTGAGTCTCTCCATGGCGCAGCTCATAATACGGCAATAGGCTTCCCCTAGGGCAAATGAACCAAGACATCATTTGTCCAATATGAAAACCACAGTCTTCTAAATAACTTAATCTTAGACTTCCCTAGGTTCTCATTAAAATTGAGTCACTATATCTGGCCCACACTCAAAGGGGAAGAGCATTAAGCATCTCCTGAAGGGAGAGATGTCAAAGAATTTGTGGACATGTTTTGTAAACCACCATAGCCATATTACCATACACATATATACACACACACAAGTATTTACAACTTTGGTGTTTTAATCTTCAAATCATTTTTTAAACGTAATGTTATAATCTTTTAGAGGTAGATTTCAGAGAATAATTTCCCTTAGATTCCATCAGCTCCTTTTCTTGCTTCACCACCATAATTCATGGCATTTCAAAAATGTTCCAGAGTTCAAATGTTGGATGGGATCAGTAATGGAAATTGCAGCTTTGTATGTTTACATATAGGATACTTCAAAACAAGTGACTCGGTTATTATTGTCCTTAGCAGTCCCAGTGGTTCAGGATACTGAGGCAGGAGAATGGCGAGTTCAAAGTCAGCTTCAGCAACTTAGTGAGGTCCTGTGTCAAAATATAAAATGGGCTGGGGATGTGGCTCAGTGGTTAAGTACACCAGGGTTCAATTCCCAGTTCATATATATATATATATACACATATACACGCCTTATTCGGGTTTCAGAAAGTTTAGGGAAATATATAAAGAGGAAAAATTTTGATTATAGGAGATAATATATATCCACACTTCTGGTATGGTATGGTGGCTATTGAGCACATGAAATATATCTAATACAATTGAAGAACTGAATTTATTGTTTGTTAAACTTTAATGTAAAAATTGAGGTGGTGGGCTGGGATTCTTGGCTCAGTGGTAGAGCACTTGCCTAGCACATGCAAGGCACTGGGTTTGATCCTCAGTACCACATAAAAATAAATAAATAAAAGTATTGTGTCCAATTATAACTAAAAATATATTTAAAAATAATAAAGATGTCCATCTATAATTAATAAGAAAGTATTTTTCTGTTAAAACGTATTGTTTTAGGGAAACTACATTTCACTTCAACCTTTGCAAATTTAGTGCCCAAGTTGTGATGTACTGTTAGTATAAAATATCAGATATCAAAGACTTAGTATATAAAAGAGAAAATAATCTCACTAGTTTTTTCACTAGTTTTTAATTTTGACTACATATTAAAATTATTTTTAATGTACTGGGTAATATTGGTATTTGATACATTGAGTTAAATACATTATTTAAATTTTTTTCATTTTAATGTGACTACTAGATAATCCTAAAGAAAATCTTATAAGTGGGTAAGTACATGGATCATTAAAATGGAAGGAAAAAATTATAATGGAAAATGTTGAGGCTCAATTGTTTAAAAAATTAAAACAAAATATGAATTTTATCTCCTAGGATCATTTAAGGGAATTAATACATATCCATTGCCCAAAATAAACACTGTTGGTGCTCCTCAGAGAAGCCACAGTCTGGCCCCAAAACTGATCCAAAGCAGTAGGAACCTTTTAAGTTATATTGGAAGTGTTGCCTGTTAGAGTATATCTATGATGGTCTGGGTGGGGGTGGGTGGGGAGGGAATGCTTTCCTGAGGAAATATGTGAGATCTGAAGGGTGGCAGACACAACAACTGGGAAAGATGACACAAGAATTATAGGAAACCAGCCAATTTGAGAAAGCATCAGAATATGATCACGACATGGAATTTGAAGGGGTTGCAGTAGTGAAATGAATCCAAAAGGGTTAGCAGAGACCAGGGTAGAAGTCACAAGTAGTGCTGAACTGGCTTTGCTAGCCATATGAAAACATTGGGATCATTGCTAAGGGTGAACCAGAAGCCACAGAGGGGTTGTAAGCTTGATGGAATGGGCAATTGAAAAAATCCATTTTGGTTGATTAAAGAGAAGGCTAGAAGCAATAACTTTGTTGCACCTGACCATAAGGTGACCTGGTAGGGAGACTTAAGGTTAGCCTAGTGGGCTTGGAGACATTTCAGAGCTGAGAGGAAAAGTATAGGGAACAGAATTTTTAGATTTCTTCATTTCTCTTATAGTCAGAACAGGCTGGTTGTATTGCCTTAAAACACAAAAAAAATATTTTTAATTGATTTAAAAGATTTATCCTTTATGTGCTGGGCTCAATGGCGCACATCTGTAATCCCAGCAGTTTGGGAGACTGAATCAGGAGGATTGCAAATTCAAAGCCAGCCTTGGCAACTTACGGAGTTCCTAAGCTACCCTGTCTCAAAAATAAGTGCTGGGGATGCGGCTCAAAGGTTAAGTGCCCCTGGGTTCAATCCCTAGTACCAAAAAAAAAAAAAAAAAAAGAATTATCCTTTATGTGATGAATTAAATCAGTCGTTCACCTAGGCTGACAGCAGTACTGGAACACGGACAGCCATTGTGAGAGAACCAAGAAACTAGTGTCATGAAAGAAGTACTGGTTTTGGAAACTCACCTGAAATTGACACATGTCCTCTGTTTTCAATGGACCAAGCTAGACACAACCACACCCAGCTTAAGCTCTGCATGGAACTGCAGGCCTATTTTTTGCCCAGAAGGGAGTCAATATTTATGAATAACTAATAGTTACCATGAATTCCTATTTCAATGATTAAGTATTTGGGGCTGGGGATGTAATTCAATAGTAGAGTACTTGCCCAGCATGTTCAAGAGCCTAGATTCAATCCCTAGCAGTGACAGGGTTGAAGGAACACAGGACCTTACTCTTTTAAAGAAAAATATACTTATGAGAGACAAGTCCCCAGTAGTCACATTGAATTAGAATTCTAGAATCTCATTATATGCCTTCTACCAAGCTAATATACAGGAGCTAATATATAGCGGGAGCATAAGGACAGGAAAAATGCCGGATACACTTCAAAAAGAAAAAAGTGGGGCAAGGTATTGTGTCCAACTACAACTAAAAAAAAAAAAAATTAAAAAAGTGACTGGTCTGTTAACTATGAAACATCATGGAGAGACCATTCAAGGATCCTGTACCCTGAGAGGGGTGTGTTCTTGGTAAGGCTTTCAAGCTTGTTACATTTTTTTTAAAAAGTTTTTTTAGTTGTTGATGACCTTTATTTCATTTATTTACTTATATTTGGTGCTGAGAATTGAACCCAGTGCCTCACACATGCTAGGCAAGTACTCTACCACTGAGCCACAACCCTAGCTCAAGCTTGCTACATTTCTTGCCTTCAAATTATCATATTTGACTGTTGTACTATGTACTAAAAGGAATGGCATCCTTGCAGCCTCTCCCCCAGCCATTTTTCCCCAGCTCCCCCAAGCCACTTTTCTGAGCAACACCACTACCCATCTCGCTACTCAAACTGGAAAACTATATCTTTACTTTTGACTCACATTCTCCCTCATCTTCCATACCCAATCTGTAAAATTCTGCCAATAGATTCCATCAAGCCTTTTTTTTTAATTTTCAGTTACACACAAAGCATTTATCTGTAAGCACTTTTATAAGAGTAGATCTAACAAATCTCTGAGAGTAGTTATGATCATTTTACAGATAACAAAACCTGAGGCATGGAGAAGTAATTTGGCTAAGACACAGAATTATTAAGTGACAGAACTGGGATTCCGTTTTTCAGTCCATGAGCTGTAAATTACTGTGCTGTGTCCTGAGGCTGTCCCTGTAAGTCTGGTTTGAACTGCTACTATGATCACCTGTCTTCCTGAATACATTCTTCATCAGCCACTTCAATATTTCTGAACATCCCCACCCTTAGTTTGAGAGAATAGCCATTAGAAACATTCTGAGTTGGCCTACTTACCTGAAGCATCTGCTTCTACTTGATGTATTGGGCTCTGGATTATGGCTTCCTGCTACCATCATCCCAAAGCTGTCAGACTCACCTTACAAAAACCTGGTGCATCCCACTTAAATAAGCAAAGATAAACTTGTTATTGGCTAATGTTCACATAATCCTACCTCCCTATTATCCCAACAGGGGATTTCTTAGGGGCTTCCTCTACTTTGTTTTTCCTGTTATTTGGTTTACCAAACTGAAAAATAATTCTCATTTTGTTATGTAGAGGCTTGTGACTTTCTCTTTGTCTTGTATATATAAGGCTATCTGGCCTACCCCATCCCAATTCAGAACCTACTCCCCCTTTTTTTTCACTAGAAATAAGACCTTTTAAGTGTTTTTAAATTTATTCAAAAATTTTTGCAGTACCAGGGACTAAACCCAGTAGTACTCTACCACTGAGCTACATCCCCAGCTCTTTTTATCTTTTACTTTGAGGTGGTATTGCTAAGTTGCCCAGGCTGACCCCAAACTTGCAATCCTCCTGCCTCAGCCTCCTAAGTAGTTAGGATTACAGACTTGTGGCACTGCACCTGGCCCTCCTAGAGTTTTAAATAGATCTACTATTTCCAATCTGGTTGGATTTAAGTTCAATTCAGATACTTTTTTAATTGACTAAGACTATTCTTTGCCATTTTTTTTTCCAGGTCCTCTTCTCAAGCTATTTAGCCCAGCTGCCCAAATAACCTTTCCTAGACATGTGTTATTAAAACTTGCTGTGGTGAGTGTAAATAAGGATCCCCTGATCCCCATTTCCTGTTCCCATATGGCATTGACAATTTTTTGAAATGTTTATTTGAAAACAATTTCCTGAAATGTTCTTTCTTATTGACATAGCTAATGTTTCTTTTGTTTTTACAGAGAAAATGTTTTTTTTTTTCCTCTTGGAATTCCTTCCACATCAATTAATAGAGCATTTCACTTTTTAAAAGTATCTTATTGTACTCATCTGGGTTTATTTAGCCAATTCCCTCCTGGACATCCCAGTGATCCAGTTCTGTTGTTATGGCATATGATGATGCATTGGACATTTCTACTCTGTTTTAATGCCAGTAGCAGTGACTTCAAATATTTATGGGATCTCCCCTGTTACACTTTGCTGCCAATGTTTAATGGTCTTGATCAAATCCTTGGCATTCTCTGTGCCTCAGTTTCCTCATCTAAGAATGAGGAAGGAATTCCTCCAGCAGGTTCAGCCAGAACTTTTGGGCTGCATACACTTGAGTATCATAAAATGAAAACATAGCCAAGGCTGTTTCTGAGGTCAGTCCTTTGCTGCCACTTTGTAATCGAACATCCACCCTGGGATGAGAGATTATACCCTATTTTACAGCTAAATGAATGAGGTTCAAATGAGGTGCAAAGCCTTATTCAAGGCTCTTTGTTCCGTAGCCACCAGAACCCAAGTTATTTCCATTACATCTGCCCCTCAAGGAAGAAGGTTTTTAAACAGGGGAGACAGTGACATGTGGCCTCCTTTGGATCCCGCCCAGGGGTGACTCTCTACCCCTGGATGTGGTTCTAAAGGAGGCTTGGCCCAGGGCCCCTTCCTTTCTACCTCGTCGTCTTCACCAGGCAACCGGCCCCCACTTCCCACGCATTCTAGCATACTCTAAACTTCTTCAGGTTGACGCTAGCTCAGGGGTGACTGGATGGGGGAATCCATCCCCCGACCAACAGCAGTCCTGGCCCAAAGAGAGATGGGACACCCGCGGGCCGTGGGGCTCTGGGACTCGACGTCCTTTCTCCTGTTGGGTCTCAGACCATGTGACCTTATGCGCCCAGTGAATGCTAGTGAGACGCGTGTAGACGGAAGATGAATGTTGTGTAGCTATGTGACGTGTGTATTGCGTGGTGTACTCTCCCTAGTGCAGACATATGAAACGTGTGTGAGGTGGTATGCAGATGTGGGGGCTCACGACCTCTGGGGCTCTTGGCGTTTAGAATTCCCAGTAGTAAAGTCCTGCCTTAACCTTCCCGGGGACTGTCAGGGCCACTTGATCCGGAGCTTGCGCATGCGCGACCCCGCCTCAGACTCTTCCCCTGTGGCTGGAACTCCGCCTTTGCCCCGCCCCCGCCGCACTTTACGGCTGGGCACTCTGCTTTTGCTGCAGTTGCTCCAGCCGTCGCTGCCGCCGCCGCCGCTACCGTGCTTGTGCTGTTGTGGCTGCTGCCAGTGAAGTGAAGTGAGGTGAGATGTGGTGTTGGGCTGCTGCCGCCCCAGAACGGGGTGGAAAGCTGGGCTGTCACGGGCTGGCGAGGGTAGCGAGTCAGTCGCGGCGTTGTCTCCTTAGGTCCGGACCTGTCTGCGCTACTGTCTGCGCTACTGCAGGGAGGCCGCCCGGGCCCGGGGAGCCGAACCAATGCTGGATCTGGAGGTGGTGCCTGAACGCTCTCTGGGGAACGAGCAATGGGAATTCACGCTGGGTAAGTGTGGGACCTTCTGTCAGGACCCACTCTCTTTGGGCCCTTGAGCTTCTAGTCTCTGCCTCTGAGTCGGTGGCTGCTCGCCTTTTTGTCCCCTCTGTTCTTTGGGCTCCAGGCATTAGATTCCCACTCGGACCCGACAGATCAGTCTGTCAGTCACCTTACAGGGTAATGACGCCCTCTCCTTGGGCCTCAGCAGGATCCCTCCTGAGGCAGTGGGACTGTAGCTGTACTACTAATAATAATAACAACCAAGTCTGTGAATCGGTACTATTGTCATTTCCTTTCCTATTTTTACTCACTAAATAATAACTAAGAGGTGGCTGACACCCCTAATCACCACTATGATCTCTGTCTCCCTTTGCTTTGGGGGTTATGTGTTTCCTTTTTCAGAAGGGAAAATCTGAGCTCCGATGTTTGCATTCCTTCACCCTAGTGTGTTTACTTTGATGTCCCAGTACTATGAAAAGGGGGTGGTGGAAGTAGGTGTTGCTGCTGCTTGTTTGTGCAGGCCTGAACTTTTGTCACTCTAATGTGGGCTACTGAGGTGAGTCAGCTGCTCATTAGATTATGGCTTATCCTTGATACACAGCATATTGGAGAAACCAGTAGAATTTTGATATATCCCATTTGATGTTCAATTGCTCTATACCTCCTGTCAGTAGTAGGAGCCTGTGTTGTTGAAGGGTCCTAGCCAATATCTCTCTTAATTTAAACCACTCCTGCAGAGTTCCTCAAAATTTTGCCAGTATGAAATGCTGCCTTGAGAAGCTAGTGTTATCATGTAATTCTGTTTGACTTGTAGTTTATGTCTTTCCTCACCTTGACAGCTTCTACCCACACCAAGACCTTCAGGACTGGGTAAAGAACTACAACCATAGCTTCAAACTGACTAGTTTGTGAATCTCTTTGTGGTACAGCATTTAGAGTCCCTTGGTCAAATGTAGTGCAGGCTAGACTTGGTGGCGCATGCCTTTAATCCCAGCAACTCAGGAGACTAAGACAAGAATTGTAAGTTCCAGGCCAGCCTCCCAGCAACTTAGAGAGACCCTGTCTCAAAGAAAAAAGTTAAAAAGAGGTTAAGGGTGTAGCTTGGTGGTATAGTGCCCCTGTGATCAATCCCCAGTATGGCAAAAAAGAAAAGAAAAGATACTGACTTTGATATTGAAGTTTTTAGGAAACTGAGTGGGAGAGCAACACTTCCTCTGGCAACTGGTGTTTTGACTACTTAAGCCCAAGTCCTAATTGCCAGTTTCCAAGAATCAAGTGTTTGGATAGTTCTTTCAAACTCTCTTAAGCTATCAAAAATAGAAGAACATTTTCATACATTGGGTCCAGAATTGAACTTTGGAGGAAGCTCAGAAAGACCTAAGCCTTGATGATTCCTAAGCCTTGATGATTCTTAAAGTCTGCATTTTTAAATAGTTTAAGTTATTTTTACCTTCTCAATCTTCTCCCTCAACCCTAATACATCCAAGGTATGGTTAGGGCTGTTAAGTGATGATAGGTATGGGAAATGAATCTGTGCTCTAGAATTATATTCCTAGAATAGAGAACTAGGGCAGTGTTTACCTCATGACACCACAACACTAAGTTAGATATTGTTCTGTCCTTTTGCCAGGTAAGAAATAGGTCAAAGAAGTAGGTAGAAATGAGAAACAAGTAACTGAATAGGGATTTCCTGCTTCCTACTGCTTTGCTCTTTTGAAGATGGACTAGGCCTTGTCACCAAGTTTCCTAGTAGAATTTGTGCAAATGCAGATGTATCTGGTCCTGTCAGTCATCTGCCTGGCATCACAATGTGGAACTGCATCCAGCATCTTGGCAACCCTCTTAGCCTTTGTATAATTTTCAGAGATTAGAGAAATTTAACAGCAAGAGATAAGAAAACCTAAGCCAAGAGCAATCTAAATGCTATTGATGGTTTAACCATGGTGGAATAAAGGTAGTACAAATTTGAAATATTTTCAGTCACACTTGCAGAATGTATTGATTTGGAGGCATGTCTCTGAATTTGTTTTTGAAATTAGTCTTTAAAATGCCTAAGAAGCAGGGCATGATGGCACATGCTTGTAATCCCAGTGGCTCACCTGTAATCCCCAGCAGCTCTGGAGACTGAGGCAGGAAGATCACAAGTTCAAATCCAGCTTCAGCAACTTAGCAAGACTCTGTCTCAAAATAAAAAATAAAAAGAATTGGGAATGTGGCTTAGTGATTAAGAACTTCTGGGTTCAGTCTCTGATACCAGAATAAAATAAAATAAAATGCCCAAAGAAGACATTTGAAAGGTCACTGGATAAACTAGCATTCTGAGATGACCTTGTTACACAGAGATTGAGGACTTACTTTGTTGACAGTAGCATGTACCTCTGTGGGCTCTACTCAAACATTGGAAATTGAATAAGAAGAGAAATAATCTTATGCTAGGGGTAGGGAAGGATTATAGAAATAATTTGTTTTATTATAATGTGGTAGAAGATGTGTAATTTGCTGTGGAGAGGGAGAAGGGAATTGACCTGACCTGGGGATTCAGGAAAGGCTTCTTACTGGCCCACAGGAGTTGTAACCCTTTCAGTCAAGTTGGGAGAAAAAAAATAGATGGTGTGTGCAGGGAAATATATAAATAATTTGGCATTATAATTAGAGCATGATGAGTAGGTGAGGTGGCACATGCCCATAATCCCAGCTACTCAGGAGTCTGAGGCAGAAAGATCATAAGTTCAAGGCCAACCTGGGCAGCTTTATGAGACCCTGTCTCAAAAAAAAAAAAAAAAAGGTCTATAGATGTGTGAGGTCTTGGATTCAATCTCCAGTACTACAGTAATAGCATGATATGCTGGTAAATGAAAAAAATTTCGCAAAGTCCTGGTTCTGTTGTGTTGTAGCTGCTCAGGATACTATGGAGGAGACTGTGGGTTTAGTAGAAAAAAAAAAAAAGACTCTGTTAATAAAGTCTGTAATAGGCCTTGGTTTAGAAAGAACATTTTGGAAACTGGATTCAGAAAGATAGGAAAGAAAGGAATTTAGAAGTTTCTGATGTGAGACACTGGGTAGATGTTGGAAAAATTAAGTGAGATATAGAATACAGAGATTTATTTTATTTTTTTAATGTGATGCTGAGGATCAAATCCAGTGCCTCATATATTCTAAGCAAGTGCTCTACCACTGATCTACAACTATAGCCCAAGATTTTTTTTTAATATTTTTTAAGTCATTGTTGGGCACAATACCTTTTATTTTATCTATTTGTTTTTATGTGGTGCTGAGGATTGAACCCAGTGCCTCACATGTGCTAGGCAAGCACTCTACCTCTGAGCTGCAACCCTAGCCCCCTAGCCCAAGATTTTTAAAAAGTCATTTTTATTCTGTTGACTTTTATTTGCTTTTAGTTGTATACAAAAAACAGTTTGAGATGTGGGTCAGAAACTGGGTGGTTGGTTAAATGAGAAAATGAGACATAGGCAGAAGAATTTATAACCTATCTATAGAGACCTGGAAAAGTTAGAGGAATATCAGGAAAAAATGGTATTGGTAGAGAGATAATGGAAATTTTCAAAGGGGAACAGTCATTACCAGAATCCATGGTTTAGGACCTGTGTGTTCTACCTCATTTGTTTTGTTCCACAGATGTGTATGACCACTTACAGTTATGCCAGTGATTGGGTGCCAGAGATATGGTGATAAACAAGACAAACAGGTACCTACCCTTTAGAAGGATATAGGGGAGAATAAAAGATAAAATAGTTGGGTGGAGATCTTGCCAAATAAGAGTTGTGGATTAAGGTGTGAGCCAAAACCTGAAATGTGAGAAAACAACTGTTGAAAGAACATTATAGCAGCATTAAGAGTCTAGTGCAAAGGCCTAAGGCAGAAAAGCTTAACATGTGTTAGTAACAAGGGGCAGTCATCGTGAACAACAGAAAGAAGGATGGAGATGGGCAATGTCCAGATATTCAAAGTCTTTAGGTGACAACATGAAAAGCAGTTTTCCCTGTAATGGGAAGCCATTAAAAAGTTATAAACAGGTAAGTGATGAGATCTACAGGATAGATTTATACAGTTTAGAAAGTTAACCATTTTGTTAGAGCTAAGACATGCCCCCCACCATTTCTTTGCCATTCATATAGTTAGTTCCCATTAAAAGTGTTTTGTAGCCCTTCTTACCAGTAGCTGTGTGATGACTGATCCTCATGGCTGCTGCATCTTCCTGATGGGTTTCTCTCTAAGTATTCAAGATCCTAAGATATTGAGACCAGGACTTTTAATAAAAGATAAAATAGTCCCTGAAGAAACTGGCATTTGTACATGAATTTGAGAAGACATGTGGCTTTCCCTTTTTTGGCAACTGAGCTTACCTGTCTCCTCATAGTTGTTTGTCCATTCTCTCTGGAAGTAGCATAGGTGCTCCTCCATTTGAGGAATGGTAAGGCCGAATGATGCATCCAGCCTGTTCATATTCCCACCCAATATTTATTAAATTTATATTGTGTGCCAGGCCCTATGCTATAGAAGGCTAAAAAAATACTTGACTTCAACTCAGCTTTCTAATTCCATTCAGCTTTCTTCAAACTGCATGCTCTCAAATAAGAATGTTTAAATACATATGGACTACAAGCTTTGACTTGTTTTAAATATTTTTTTTAGTTGTAAATGGACACAATACCTTTATTTATTTATTTATTTGTTTGTGTGTTTATTATGTGGTGCTGAGGATCAAAACCCAGGGCCTCATACAATGCCAGACCAGTGTGCTATCACTGAGCCACAACTCCAGCCCTAAGCTTTGACTTTTCAATTCTTCATTTGTATGCTCTTTTCTGCACATCACATCCTCTTGATCAGGAAGTCAACCCATCTTGAATGTGACCCCCCCATGCTGCCCTAGGATTATATGATGATTTCTGCCCTTTCTCTGTTATTCACTCTATAATCCTATTCCCACTGATAAATACTCTACAACCACTATGTAGGTGATCAGCTTTGAGCAAGGAGCTATCCTTGCACTATCCTTGCATTCATGAAATTATATATGTCTTTGTTTTTAGATTATTCCAGGCCTATTTCTTCTATTTCAGAGTCCTATAATGGGCTCTGAAAACAAATTTTAGTGATTTCTGTGAGTCCCTGGAATGTTTTGAGACATCATTGGGATTTGGATTACTTAAACTGGATGTATATGTAAATTTGCTTTTAATAAGCCATGAGGTTTTTGTTTTGTTTTGCTTTTTATGTGTTAAGAGATGTTTTTGAGGGCTGGGGGTTTAGCTCAGTGGTAGAGCACCCCCCTCTCACATGTGTGAGGCACTGGATTCGATCCTCAGCACCACATAAAAATAAATAAAGATATAGTATCGAACTACAACTAAAAGAAAAAA